TGAAGTTTATAGAACACATGGACTTTCTATACAGTAATTGATAATATTGTTTAAAAGAAAATGTGACCTTAGCTTCCTACTATCTCCCTGTGTGTCCAAAGAATGGCTTCCTTTCAAATACCTCGGGCTCTCTTTAGATCAGCACTTTGTTCATTCTGTTACCTCTGACCCTCGAGCTTCAAATGCCCACCATCCCTTTTATTTATTAAAATGGTTACTCCTTCACACTCACTTGAGTTATGGTGTTAGTGAAGAATAGTAAATGAACCACAGACTGCCATGAATAAAAACAAACCCCATTTTAGAAGTGTAGTCAAAATAATGATTAGAAGCAACGATAGTGAGACTTTGCCTCATATGCTTTGGACATTTTAGCATGCCAGACCAGCCGCTGGAGAAGGAGGGGTTAAAGTAGCCACTGACTACCCACGGTCAAGTTGTTTCAAACTCATGGTGAACCTTCATTGGATTTCCAAAGCTGTTACTCTTAATAAGAACTGACTGCTTCATCTTCTTGAGGAGTGGCTGGTGGATCCCAACCGCTGACCTTCAGTTAAACAGCCTAACATGTAACGAACTACCAGTGATGATCTATTAGGTGGTGGTGTCCATAAGGAGTTGCACCACTAATCCAAAGGCTGAATCCACCATCAGATGGCCAGACTCCCCTGGGCCGATTTATAGCCTCAGAAACCCAATGGAAGGTCAGCTATGAGTTGGTTGCAACTCAGTGGCAGTGATTTTTTTTGAGGGAACATAGAGGATCAGTGGGGGGAAAGGGAAGAACCTTGACAAGACCAATTGAAGCAATGACTGCAGTCATGTTCTCAAACATGGCAGTTATGAGGATGGGGCAGAACTGGGTACTGTTTCATTCTGTTTAATGAAGTCACTGTGACTGGGAAGGGAGCTCTAGCAGCCTAGTGGGAAGAAGCTACATTTCAATCCTAAAGGCACATGGTTCAAATCCACTAGTTGCTCTGTGGAAGAAGAATTGGGAATCCACTCCCATGCAGTTTACCACCTCTGAAAACCTCTTGGAAGGTCAGTTAATGAGTCAGTTCCAACTCGATGGCACACAACCAAGAAGTGACTCCATGGCCCCTAACACCACCACCAAGCTAGCAGTCTTCATTTTGCTCTAAGTAGGGGGCTTGAGTCATAGATGAGAGGAAGTTGGGAAGGATAGTGCCCCACAGAGCAGTAAAAGTTGTAAGTAGCCATTGTGAGAGCAGAGCTCACCAGATGAGACATTTGGATTGCAGGATAAGTTTTAAGGTCATTTTAAAAGCATCAATCAACTTGGAAAAAAAAAAATACTGGAGGAGAGACCTGGGGGGACAGGAAATGGTGCTCACATTTTATATGTGGCACTGAGCATGACAAAGAGCAGACTGTGCCCTAGAGACAAACTGAGGTGAAGATGACATTTAGACAGTCAAGAAGCTTTGGCTCTACGGTACCACCTGGAGCTTCCACACAGATGTAGAATTAGAGTACTTGAAGCAGAAAGCAAATAGTCAGCCAGATACCCTTAGTGAATGAAGTAGAACAGTGTAAGAAGATAAAGGCACACCTCATACTTTATTTACTTGTGAGAATCCTGTGTTGAACAAGTCCGTTGATGCCAGTTTTTTCCGATAGCAGGTGCTTTGTTTCCTGTGTCAGATTGATAATTATCCCAATATCTCATAGGTCATCTGTATGACTTGTGTTACTGTGAGAATTTGCCTTATTTTGGTAGTCAGGAACCAAATCTATACTATCTCTGAGGTGGGCCAGGAGTAGGAGGAAAAAAACAGAAGGTAATACATTCTTCCTCTTAGTCACTGCAAATACAATCTTTTACCTCTAAAGGTCCCCAAAAATATATACCTCAGACATGTTTGTGTTTGTAGTTTTTAATGGAATTATGTATATGATTTTCTCACTCTCCCATTTCTTTGTCCAGTCGACCTCACTAGATTGTAAACTGTATGAGGGCAGGTACAATGTATGCTTCATTGATTGCTTAATACAGTTCATACTCAGCTGCTGTTCAGTTGGAGCCACTTCATAGCTGACCTCCGAAAGGATTTTGGGAGGCTGTTAATCACATGGGAGGAGCTGGTCCATCTTTTTCCAGTGGTGGATTTGAACCAGCAGAGATGCCAACTTTGGGTTAGCACCATAACTCCCAACAGACTGTATCACCAGAGCATAATATAGTCTGTTACATAATAAATAAACCAGTGAAACATGCTGAATAGACAAATGAAAGAAAAGGGACAGAGAAGTAAAAGAAAGGAAGAAAGAGGCAGATGGAAAGGAAGGAAGGAGTTGTCTTAGTGAGCCTTCCTCTGTGGCCGTTTTGGTGAGACCTTTGCCTGGCTTTTCTTCAGTGTCCTCATATGTAACCAGCGTGGTCTCTCCTGCAAGATAGGTCCTGCAGTAATACTGGTTCAGGAATGAGTGAGAGTCCCTGCTAAAGCACAATCTCCATTTTATAAGGCTTACTTATTTTCCTTACAAACATGTTTTCTTTACATAAAAAGGTTTTACTAACTTGTTTACTGTCTAACAAAAGTTCAGAGATAAACTAGATCTATAGCTTTCTTTGCTCATAAAGATGGTAAGGTCTGTCTCTCTTGAATCTCATTATCTCTGCTGCAGAACTATGACCCATCTGTTGTTAATTCTTTTGGAAAAGAAAATAGGACTTAATAAATTTACTTTAGTTGCAGGTGAGCCATGTAAATGGGGAAACACAGTGGCCATTGAGTTAGAACCAACTCATAACATGTGAATCACATGGGAGGAGAATATCTACCTTTTTCTCATGGAACTCCTGGTAGATTTGATGTGCCAGAGAGGCACGGCCTTGGGGTTAGAGGCACAAATCGCTGTAGACAAAGGAAAGAGTGGAAATAAATAGTGCATTGCTCAGCTCTGTGTACTGTAGGTAGGTCTTGTGACTGCCCTGCCATGCCTTGAAAAGGCCATCATTATGTATCCACTGCATACTCCTGCTCCCACTCCCATTTCCCTCATTGTTGACTGAAGTCGTTTTTTACATTTTAGAGCTAGAATATTCTCTGCTACTTTATGCATAGCTAGAAACCATTCTGTCTCTGCTCATGGGTAGTTTCTCCTCAAGCCAGGGAGATCTTCAGGCTTATCTCTTTAATTTTAGCACATTACATCGGAAATTTCATCATATTCCCAAAATCCCAAACTCTTAGGCAAGAAAAGTAAGACTTCAGCAGCTTATAGAGGATGTGGCAGATTTCTTGAGTCAAAAAATTGCATTATTTCTACTTGTGTTAGTCAAAGTGTAATGAGTTTTTGTGTAATTGTTCTCTTTTCCAGTCCTGAGTACTTTCTTTACTGGTTTTGTCCCAAAATGAAAGATGTGATAGCTAGGTGGCCTGTTAGAATACATTCTCTTATACAGTATAAACACTGTAAAAACTTCAGCTGCTTTTCTGTTGTATATAAAAATACACTTTTTCATTCTTACTGAGAAAATGCAAACCTCTTCCAGATATAAATTTCTTTTGCGCTATCAGTGAATTAGTTTGTGAATTGGTTGGACCCCTTACAGATTTTTCATGCCATTCTCTGCCTTTATGGAAGGATCTGCACTAACGTCTTCAAGTCCACATTGTTCTTTCTCATTGAACATTGTTGAGTTTCTGAGTTGGAGTAATTTGAATGACTTCCTTTCTTTCTGCTAGAAGCATGGAATGTAAGCACTTGAAGCTAGAATGGCTCTTTTAAATCATCTCCTCAGCATCCCTACTAAAGAGAATTCCAAAACTCCAGAAGTGATTGTTGTGCCTCGGGACCCAGGGCTGTGGAGCGGCCCCAGCAAGGCTGCAGTGCACGTCCCATGCTGTTACATCACCAGACTTGACCCTTGTCTGGCGAGCTCCTTTACACACATCTCCTTCCAGAGTACATTTCTCCTTGCCTCTAGCCTTCTACATGGCACTGCCGCCACATCCAGCCCACCAATTTTACCATCACCTCTGCATCCTCTGGTTGTAAACTGTTTTCTGAGAGTTGTTGAGGGCTATTAAAATGACATCATTTGTTACACTGTCCATAAAGTGTTAATGTAAATTTGCAGAATGTCTGCATGATTCCTGAAGACAGACTCACACAGGCCATCCTCTTTATTTGGGTTATTGCTTATAAAAGATCACATGCAATGTTATGAAGATACATAGTTTCATAAATTGATAGCAACTAGAATTGAGAATGAAGTCCTCTGTTGCTCCATTCAATGGTTCTAGGTCCAGATCAGCTGGATTTTTTTTTTAATTTATTGAGATGACTATTTTTCCAATGATGTAAAAGTAAACCACAGCACTCTCATCTGTAAGTTCAAGACATAAATACTATCACACACATTTGAAGATTAGAATAATATTTACAGTTCACCCAGTTTATAATTAGCTTTTCTTTTGCAGAGGAATATTTTTCCTTTAACAATATTTTCGTGTTACATAGATATTAAATGGTTCATGATAAGCGAACATGATAGCAGTGTAGCCTAATTTCCCTCTATAAATTTAGAAACATAGTGCAGTAAAGTAATTATGAAAATGTCAACCTACAGTCTTGACTTACGTAGTAAATTTTAGGCCAAGTAAATACATATTTATCTACAATCATTGGAACTTTTCCTTTCAATTAAAGCCCATTTTCTTTAATGACTCTTGTATCTTCCGTTTAAAATTCCCTGAAAAATACTGGAGTCTATTTGAAAACCCCTGATTGTGAAAAATACTCCTGGTTTCATATTAATACTCCAGTGATTATACCTTGTAGACATGTTAATCGGTTACAGAATGATTTGTAGCAGTTTTACATATTTGTAGTTAAATTAATATTTAATTAGAAAATATTCTTTCCTGGTATAGCTGTAGCTATTCAGAATTACTTCTTTAAAAAAAAAAAAATAGCTAGCTGAAGCAGTTTCCTTATGTAAGTGGTGGTGTTTTCTTTCTTTGCAGCTACGACAGCTAGTTAACATATGCATCAACCCGGATCCCGAGAAGCGACCAGATATCACCTATGTTTACGATGTGGCAAAGAGGATGCATGCATGTACCACCAGCAGCTAGGTGCGTGGAAGATCATGAAGAATATAACCAAAATAATTTAAAGGTTTTTTTTTTTTTTTTGCAAATCATACCTCCCCATTTTTGTCTGGGTGTTAAGATTCCTGTTTCAGAGCTAATGTGCTTTGAATCCTTAACCAGTTTTCATATAAACTTCATTTTGTACCAATTTTAAGTCATCCGCTTGCTAACCCCAAATGACTTGGGAATCATCAGATTGCATATTAGGAGAGTAAATGAAATGTGATGATTTTCTTAAATAGCTAAAGATTTTTAGAATTGTTTGGCTTTTTCTTCTGATGAAAATTGTGGTCGGACAGATTGATGATGCCAAATATTGAAGGTGCGGCTTGGCACAGATGAGATTTACCACCCTGGGGAGAGTTTCTGAACGTGTGATTTTTGTTTTTTTTTTTTTAAATTTTCTCTTTTTGGTCATTATTTGTGCCATTTGAGATGAACACAGTTGTGAACTTTTTATGATTGTTTTTAAGCGTTTAAAGTATATGTTTTAGTGCTTAGCATTGTAGTTTTCAATTAGCATTCTTCAAAGAAAGGTAGACACAGACTATTTGAATTTCAGTTTTAAAACTCCTCGCATACACATTAAAATGCATCTGTGAAATGTGAAAAGATTTGGGGTTAAAATGTGAGTCAGACACTGAAGAGCTGTTTTGTTTGTTTTAATATTTTTTATAATCTCCTTGCAGTAAAATGGTATAAATGAAACCATTTAAAAAGTGGTTAAGGATTTCTTTGGCTGGCATGATAGTAATTTTTTAAAGTTGCACATTGCCTAAGACTTTCTTGTGTGTTTTTATTATTGTTTGTACATTTGAAAAATATTCTTTCAGTACTAGGTTTCAGTTTCTTTATAGAGCTAAATTTATAATTGTACACTATAATGTAAGCATATGTTTTTACACATAGATTTTATTGAAGTTATGATTGGTTCCCTTCAGAAATTTTTTTATATATTCTTCAGGTTACTTTCTTATTTATATTGTATGTATATTTTAGCCATTAATGTTTCCGATTTTCTGAGAGCATAATACCAGTTGTAAAAGCTATTTGGCATACCAGTACATTTTCCTGAATTGAAAACTTTTTTTTTAACTTTTTAAAATCTGGGCACTCTGTATGTATGCATTTTGTCTTGTTAGAGAGGAAGAAAGGATGTATGTCAAACTGTACCTGTGAATGTTGATACAGTTTCAGTTCTTACAACAAGGTAATAATATTAGAATATGTCTCAAGAAAAGAAAACAGGCTGTGCTTATAGCCAGAAGTTGTATGGGGTGAACGTTTTTGTTGAGAAGCTTTTAAGCGCAGTGCTGTATGCCTGCATGAAGATGGCAGAGATGGTGATTCTACATTTAGTTTGGGGAAATGGCCAGAGTTTGGGGCAGTGGTGTTGTGGAGACGTGTTTTTCTTGAGGTTGTTGATGTAAGCGGTAATCAGTTCCTCACAGAATCGCAAAGCCACAGGGCCAAGTGGCTGTCACTGGGGAAGGACACCATGCTGCCATACAACGTTGGGATCAGTTATCCTGGCAACCTGAAAACCTCATGTTCAGAGACTGACTACCCTTAATAGATATAATTGTTGATATTGGTTTTCTCAGAGAAGAATTTTTCTTACAGTCATTTGAAAAGCTTCAGGTCATTTGTAAACTTTAAAAATGTGTGAAGGGCAAAAGTGGAAACCTGTGCCTTGTACACATTGTTACCAGTTATTCCTGGTCATTTCACCTCGGGATAGGCAAGACTGGTGGGTGCTTTATTTATTGGCTGAAATGCATTCTTTTCCCAGACTTGGATGACTTCTTGTTACCTGTATGTTGAACACCAACATATTTATGTCTCTGGAAGCATTAGTAGAATTGTTTTTGTTGACCATTAGTTTTATGTCCATTTTAATGTAATAAAATTGATTGGAATGAAATGCCTTTTCAGAGGTCCTATTGAGAAGAGAAATTGTCCTTATTTCTAACAGTCTTTAGGGGGGAAAATTGATCTAAAACCCATTAGATTAGCCACTCAGTGTTTAAGCTTTTCTTTTTAGTGAATCTGTCTGCGGGAGGGAAAGTGCTGGGGGAAATATAATGATCAAGGAAAGCCCTTATTATTTGCTACATGTAGAAATATTTTTTGGGGGGGGGGATTTTTAACAGAAGTCTCCCCCCACCCCAAAGAAACCACTGTATAATATCCCACTTTAAATTCTGAATGGGATCCTTTCAAAGAATTATGAAGGTGATTAAGAGTTCTAATTTTAATAATTACCCATAATGTGGTCTCTTTAAATGGTTTGATTAAGTCACACATTTGGATTCATTTTATATACAGTGATATGAAAGGTCCATCTGGTTCTAAACCTTATCTTGACATTGGTATCAGTTACCCAGAGAAGAATGTGGGATGACTTTGTTCTGCATTTGAAGGTTTAGGAATGGTGGATGAAATGTGTCCCCATATAAATAAAGTGCTCAACAGTGTGCAATGATTGTAAATTTAGTAAGATGTTACAGCCATTTCATGAATGCTATACCACTCTACTAGTCTCTATTACAAAACACCTTTCTCGTATCCATATGCTTCAGGTGTTGCTGTTGACATTTACCATGATATTTATTTTAACCAAAATGTTATTCACATTAAATGTTTATTCTTCAAAATGAATGTATTATGTTTGTAAGCCACCAATGCCTAATTATCCTATGCCTCTTATTTCAATAGTACTGTAATATGGACTTCTTTGTGAAATACTTTTATTTTGTTATGCTTTAAATACACATACTAAAAAGATTCTGTTATTAGCCTTGAAAATTGTACAATATCTTAATATAAATAAAAATATAAAAATAAAAAGAGCACAGTAAGATTTCTGTGGACCTGTAATTTTTTTAAAAATCGTTCATTCTTTTTTATTTAGTACGTATGCTATAAAAATTGTTCTTACTAATTTCGTTAATCACCATTCTGGAGAAACGTAAGAAATGCTACAGGGAACTCTGGGGCCATATTTTCTAGGAAAGTGTGCATCTAACCCAAAGGCCATGTCTCTTCCGGTGATTTTGAATCCTTGAGACAAAGATGAGCATTCTCCTCTCGTGCAAGTCACAGTCCAAGAAACCCACTGGAGCGTCAGCTGAGAGTTGTCTGACGCAACAACAGTGAATTTGGGTTTCTTCAGTTAAGAATTGCTAAGAGGTAGAACTATGACATCACCGCTTCCAGACTAAGCTGGACTACAAAGATAAAGGTCTGCCAACTCCTTGAGAAAACCTGTTAGTGAAAACCCTTGGATTTTTAAATTGGTCAGATGGGTAACTGATCATGGGATGGGCTGGCACAGATCCAGGAAGGTTTCATTCTGTCCCCTATGTCACCAGGAACAGGAGCTGACTCGGTGTCAGCCAACAACCACAAGAATTGAAATAGTCATAGGCTGATAGACTCTAAGATGTAATTTTTAAAATATGCCCTTAAAATAAGGCACATCTTTACATGCTTCTGTCCTTTTAAGTACTTTTTTTATCCCCCCCCAGAAGAGTCTTCTAAAAGGATGAATCTTTCTACTTTGGATTTTTATTGTGGTGGTGGTGAAGTGTCATTTAGTTCTGATTCATAGTGACTTGGTGTACATAGAACAAAGCCTACTCTGTCCTGTATTATCCTTAAAATCTATGCTGTTTTTGACCCCATGGTTACAGCCTTTGTGACAGTACATCTCTTTGAAGATCTTTCTCTTTTTCCTTAACCTACTTTACTAAGCATGATGTCTTCCTGCAGGAATTTATCCCTTCCAATAACATGCCCCAAGTACTTGAGAGGAAGTTTTCAGCATTTTTACTTATAAGGAGCATTCTTTTTCTGCTACCAAAACAGATTTGTTCATTCTTCTGGCAGTTAATGGTATGTGTTGTTTGTTGTTTGATGCCGTCGAGTCATAGATGACTCATAGCGACCCTATGAACGAATGGCCTGAGCACTGTTCGTACATAGAGTTTCCGGAGGCAAGCCATTTCAGAAGTGGATGCCGCTCCTGCTTCCAGGCTTGATCTAGTTAGGAAGCTCCAGCCAACACTGTCCAACATGGGTACCCATTACCACGATTGGCACATCACTGTCACAGTGTTCAGCATCACAGCAACCACGAGTTACCTCTGTACAGCAACACACAGACCAGTGCTATACCACCTAGAAGAATGTTTGACAGGAAGACAATTTGAACCTGGCCGAGGGTCACAGAGGAAAATCACCCACCTTTGGCTTGGTAGCATAGCTTCCTTTCCACTAGGCCAACGTAACTCTCTCTTGGTCATCGTCATTGTTATTGTTGTTTAATGCAGTCGAGTCGTAGACGACTCATGAACGAACGGCCTAAGCACTGTTCGTACATAGAGTTTCTGGAGGCAAGCCATTTCGGAAGTGGATGCCGCTCCTGCTTCCAGGCAGTTCATGGTATAGTAACAATATTATATTAATAGTTCACTAATAATATTGGAAAAGGAGCAATGGCAACTTGGGGATAGCCAAGTCTGATCTCTACTAATTCTGTAAAGGGGAATTGTTCCCATCAATAAAATCCACAGTACAATCTTCATTCCTGTATGGTTAGACCCTTGACCAGCAGGCAGAAGTTCAGGGGATGTATTACAAAGGGAAAATCTGCTTTCAGGGACCTCTCCAAATTACTGAGGAGGAGTGATGTCAATTTGAAGGCCAAAGTGCACCTTTTCAAGCCATGATCTTTTCCATCACTTGCTAACAATCTAAGAGCTGGACAGTGAGTAAAGATGACAGGAGAGTGGATACATTTGAGTTATGTTGAGTAAGACTACTGAATATCCCATGGACTGTGAAAAGAACAAAGGGATACATACATCTTGGAGAAAGTGCAGCCACGGTGCTTCTTAGAAACAAAGATGACAAAACTTTGTCTCACATACTTTTGAGCATGTTGTGAAGGGCAGCTTTTCCTTGAAGAGGGACATTAT